CTACTAATATAATAAAAAATGAAGTAAACAATAATAAAAGAACTATTCTAATATAACATAAAAGTCTACATAAATAAATAAATCTTAGATATATTTATTGTTTACAGTACAGTACTAATATTTTTTTAATAAATATTTTAATATTTTGTATTATTTAACATAATTTTTGTATAAGAACAAAAATGATAACATCAATCAATTCATGAAATACAAAATAATTGTATAGTTTTTTTTTGTTTTTTTTTTTCGTATGGCGCCCATGTCCGGGAGTAGGCCCGAAGGCCTATAGTTCGGACGCCATTGTATAGTTAATGGTTGTCAGTTGGTACACAATTTAGAAATATGCATATTTTTATTTGAAACAAATCTAAAAAAATCAATTAAATATCAGTAGACAATTAAAATAACATAAGTTTATATAAAGTACCTACGTCCTACTTAATACATATTATATCATGTTTATCATGAAAACAAATATTACTCAATGAGAGTTGCATGAAACTGGAATACATAAACATATTATATCGGGGTTAAAATGATTTTGGTAAAGCACTATATAACATTAAGCCTCAATATCTAAACTTAACATAATTCTGACATTAATTTAACCTTTTATTAAAACAAAAAAACTATATATTATAATATAATAAAATTATGTATTATCTTTACTATTTGGAATTGAAAATTAAAAATAGAACAAGCCAAATGTATGTATAATGATTATAATTTGGATGACTTATAGTTTTGGAGAAGATATTACTATCATGAGTTTCGCTATTAGTTTTTATCATTACGACATAAGTAGAAATGTAGAAATTATTTTTTTATACTTAATAATAATTCATTAAATTTTAATTCTTAAAAATCAAGATTTGAAAGTTTAATACAAAGTACCTCGCTGTTAGATCCTTAGGAGTTCTTTTTGAAACTTAAAAGACCTAAAAAAAAATATATATATATTATCATATTTTTTATATATTGATATACTTTGATATTTAAATTAAGAATAACGATTTCAGTTATTTTGTTGTAATTTAAATGTATTATTCATAGAGGTTTGAAACTTTTACAGAGTTATATCGTTTCAGTAGCGTAGCCAGAGGGGAGGCTAAATGAGCTGCAGCTACCTTCCCCAAAATATTAAAAAAATTTAAAAATAATTTTAATTTTTAATGGTCTATGAAAGTTGTTACAAAAGTTTTAAATTGTATTTTACTGATTTTAAATTGTAATCTTTATTATGTTAACATTTAATATTTGTTCACTGACAAAAATTTTCTACTTCACTAGTATTTATATTTTACAGCTAACTATATCCGTGTTAGTGGTTATTTAATGCGTATAAAATTATGCATCGATCGTTATAGAATAAAATATTGACGTTCTGTGATTTTTTTTCATTGTTACTTATTTAAAGTATTTAAAGTATACAAGAACATTATTAATTCAATATACGATAAGGGTTATAGAAACCAAAATCTAAAATAAAACTTCGACATCTGCATATTACACTTATGGAAGATTCTAGGTAAACCACCGATGTTTAGAAATTGATCGACCCCTCCCCTTTCCCCCGAATAAAAATCCTGGATACCCCACTGCATCGTTTTACGGTATGTCGATATTGACTCAGTGGCGTAATTATAATTTTATTCTGGTAGGGATAGGTACATAATTTGTTGGATAGACATAAAGTGGGGGATTTTCCTCCACATTCCCCTTACTAAATTTTTTTTTTCTAAACATAATTCTATATACAGTTACATAATATTACATAATGATTTTATAAACAAAAAATTGTATAAACTTAAATCCAATTCTGAGGTTTTTTAGCCAGTTCATTTATTATTTTCTCGATAACAATTTATATGTGTTTATGGATAGCTAACTTAGTTAATCCATTAAATCCACAAATAATTTATTATTGATTAACTATCATTAAAATATGATGACAAGCATTGTATGATAATGCAAAAAATGTTGTGTTTCTTTTTAATCATAGTTACATGTCAGTACTTATATCATCACAATTACGTATTGAAAAAACAGGATACACGTCAATTTATCGTAAAAAATTGACCGCGCGACAATTGACTGCTAACAATTGATCGCAAGTCAATTAATCGCAATTACAATTTACCGCACAACAATTGATCGAAAAATAACATTTTCAGTAATAACTTTTAATTTGAATACATATTTAATTTGAATAAATTTGGTACAACTCTGGTTACATGACGTATGGTTAAAAATATATTTTTTCATCTTAGATTAAAAATGTTTAAAAAATGTTGTTAGGTATATAAAAATGAAACAAATTAAATTTACAATTTAAAATTATAATATGCAATATTTTTATATATAAATAGATAAAATTTGTACATTTAATTGAATATAAAAAATAATAATAATAAATCATAAAGGTAGGTATATAATAATTAAAAACACTAAAATATATTAAACTTAAAATTGAAAATTATATGCAATGCCACGAAGAAAATCTTTGTATTATTATTATAATTGGTACAAATTTTTTTTATTGCAGCTTCTCTATCTCGGTAAATTTTGTTTCGAGGAGGCTCCATTGCCCCCTATATATTGTTCAATTTTGAATCTGTTAATGCTCTCTTCTTTTTTTAATACTTTTATAAATCGCCAAATTGAAGGATGCATACCATTTATAAGTGATGTGAAACAATTGTGCTACCCTTCTATAGCATTATTTGTGGTAGCTAAATCTTGCATTAAATAGACATGATCGTTAACGATCGAATAATGTTACGAAAAAATACTATTCGCTTTAAAATAACTCTGAAATTACCTACAGGTATATAACTATGTTTGCGATCAATTATAATTTTAAATTGTAAGTTTAATTTGTTTCATTTTTATATAGGTACCTAACAACATTTTTTTAAACATTTTTAATCTAAGATGAAAAAATATATTTTTAATCATACATGTAACCAGAGTTTTGCCAAATTTATTCAGATGAAATATGTACCATGTACCAATTCAAATTAAAAATTATTACTGAAAATGTTATTTTTCGATCAATTGCCGTGCGGTAAATTGCTATTGCGATCAATTGTCGTGCAGTCAGCTGCTTACGATAAATTGACGGTACACCAAAAAAACACTTGTTTGCTGTGTTGCGTATGCATATTATGGTATATCGTGAAAGATACTACATTGATAATATGATAGATACAATTTGAGAACCACGCTAAGAACGGATTGGATTATGACCACGATTTAAGATAATATATAAATCGTAATTATTACATAATATGGATAATCTTATAATCAGAAAATCGTATACTATCTAAGTCGATGTAATAAACATTGAAAAAATAAAACCCTTAGGGGATCTATCCCCATCACTACACCTACAATAATTGACTCAAAAGTTAATACTAATATTATATGATATAAATATATATACAATTATAAATTATAATAAATAATAACGTAATTTAATATACCTGAATTTTTTCTGCTAAAATGTATTCAACATACTGTATTAAAAACAGTTAAATAATTAATAAATAACAATATATCTGCTCAGAATCGTAAATGGAATGATTTATCATTTATATCATATCTCTGCAGATGGAATATCCATTATACTGTACTGTACTATACTCTGCTCGACATATACAGTACAATACAGTGGTATTAGGTACCTAGACATCCGCATTTTTATTAATTGAGTTTCTAATTTCAATACTATTTTTCATTTTGCAATTTTGTTTATAGACTATAGTTCTATATAGATTACATATATTAAAACCTGTTATAATTTAACCTATACCGATATTAAATTTTAAGTAAAATGTTATTATTAATTACTTGGAATTAATAATTTTAATAATAATTTGTAAATAGATTTAAGAATATTTTAATATAACTATTGTACAAAAATATAAATCTATCAAATAATAATCATAATAATAATTACATATTATTATAATTCTGAATAACTGGTAAATTAAAGATGTTAGCACACTATTATTTTGTTTCCTTCTTTCAACGACGCATTATATAGGTATTAATTGTTTATTTGCGCTCAGATGACCTAAATTTTGTTAGCTTTAATATTAAAGTGAATTGATTTATTATCAGATTATAGTTAAGAACAATATTTATGTTTTTATGATTTTTTTAATTTTAATGGGAGTTTCGAATATGTTAAGAGATAGTTTAAAAATAATCATATCATAAGCTTTAAAATTTAAATAAGTTAAATATAGTTAATGTTTTTGACTTACATTGCATAATAGCTCTCCATAATACCAAGAATAAAAATATTATATAAATTATAATATGTTTTGCTGAATTCAAATTTGCTACATTTGTCAGGAATAGTAAATAATACACTAGCGAGTAGCGGTTCGAAATTATCATACATTAAAAAGTTAACACGAATTTATTACTGCACGGGCACCTAAGTTCGGACTCTGATTCTTGGTGTTAGGCAATCGAAATTCTAAGGAAAATTTTCGACAGGCTAGTTCTACAGTCAACTAGAGCAGCGGTTCCTAACCTGGAGTATGTGAGATGATCTCAAGGGATACGTAAAAAAAATTGACTAATGGCAGAAAATGTAAAATTTATTTTTTTTTAAACAATTAATTTTGAAAATATTTAATATAATAATATATGTTATCAAAAATAAAAATTTGTGTCACAAATTAAAACTTATCTGTCAACTTATCTAATAGGTATGAAGTATAGAATGTAACAGAATTTTTCGTTACTTTTATTTTAAAAGTATAAATATGTGAAAAAGTTAAAAAATTATAATGAGGAGTAGGTACCTACAATTTAGCAAAATATTAAATTTGGGATTACGAACAATACGAACAAAATAAAAAGGTTGGAGAGTCAGGAGCCGCCGCTGTGTTAGAACAGGAGGATTGTGGAACTGTTGAAGATCACAATATCGTTGTCATCATCAACTTGTTAAATTCAATTCAGAAATACATTCTAATACTAATGAGGGACGGCGCGTACGCAGTCCCAGCTAACAAAAATTCTGCGCCCGAGGTATCCACATTAGGGATACTCGCAGGGGTCAACCAATTCAATGTGCAATGAATTGGCCTCGCCCTGAAGGAACCGCCTAATTGATCACGGTTAACCTCCACGCCAGGTAAGTATGCTCGACTTTTGATATTAGAGCCTTTATATACTGTACAACGGCCTCTCAAAAACGGTACACGCTCGTTGAATTCTTATAATTTTATCAATTATCCGATAATGACGTTAATCCGCAATTAGTCTAGGGTGTTTAAAAACGTTTTGGTAAGCCATAGAAATGTTTGTGAAGCTTTTTAGACACTGCTATGTGCCTCAAAGGTTCGGTAAGTGCTAGTCGCAAACGTCGGTCGATAGGTGGCGCTTCCTATGAGTGAAACTCTGCGGAAGCATTTTTGTTGTTTGTCTTTTCAGCATCTTATGTAGTATGTACCTACTTCAGTAGCTCGATAAGTCAACTTTGGTTCATCAGGAGTACCGTTGATCGAGAATATACCCAAGTACCTAACTAAGAGAATGGTTTAAAGTATTTTAAAGCTCAATCACAAATTAAGATGTATTTTCATAAAAGGGTGCAAGTTAGTTTTGTAATGTTGGTGCTTGGTACCAATGATTTAGCACCCGGATACATGTCTACTGTACTTTTATGAAATTACTAGAAAAGTTGTTAATAAAAACTGAATTTCAGTGTCTAATTATTAGACATCATATGTATGTGATATATCTTATAAAATGTAAAATATTTGTAATCATCTTTCCATAGTTATTTTATCCACTATTATGTAAAGATTCTTACAAGTCTCTCATCTCGGAACAGTTTTTATATAATTATTATTCATTATTGTGCATAATACATATTATATTGTTCAATGAAAAACAGTCTTATACTTTTTTAATACTTACCTTCGCTTCACTTGGGCTGACATGAGTGACATAGATTTTTGTATAATTAAATAATATAATATTTTTGATTCACAAATTAATTATCATATTGTTTTGAAAACCAAGGTTTTAGAATTAAGATGGTTATTTTATCATAGAATAATGCATATACATTCAATATAATAGTATTTAAGTTAGGTAACAATAATTGATTTTATAATTTATAATAAAAAAAATTTACACAATGCTTATAAAGTTACTATTATCTATTATAGGATAGTTAATTAAATTGCACTTGCGCCGTGCTAAAGTTTGTAAAATGCAGAATAATAGTAAAAAACCATATGCAATGTAAGTAGTACTTTAACAAAACAATTTAATCTGTCGTGCATAAAATATTAAAGTACGTTATTACTTATTAAACGGTTATTGAAAAACAAAATTTAATACATTCAATTTATTGTGATAAAAATGATTTTTCCATGATTTCTAAGTAGTAATTAAAAAAGTAATATCAAAATAAGTTCGATGGTAATCTATTCTGTGGTTATGGGTAAAATTAGGAAGTTGTTCGACCTAATACGTAATTACTAATTATTATAACTTATATAAGGTTTATGGGTAATTTCTTATCAGTAGTTGAAAACGAAAAGTTCTTATCACTATATCTTTGAGTTTGAACTCTTCGTTTTTCAATGTCAAATCTTTTACAAAATCAATATTCAGTTAGGACTTAGAACTGATTTTAATTTCGTTTATTCATAACGTGTGTACATAGTTGAATTATTTAATTTTAAAATTTCTGTTGAATCACTGACGTTAATATTTAACCGGAATGGCAACTTCATTGTTTCGTACCGCCCTTAAAGGAGGATTACATAAAAATTATCTTAGAAAAACTTTACGTACTTCATTCAATCTAGAAAATATACTATGTATTCATACATCATCGTTTTTGAATGGTAACAATACTTTCATTCAACCTTATTATCAAATTTTTATTCAACTTAATATAATGTAAAATGTTTGGTAAAACTTATCAATTATTATATCATTTACTTAGTAAAGGGTCAAGAAATTAACATGCCATCTTTGTCCCCGACCATGACTGAAGGCAACATAGTCAAATGGTTAAAGAACGAAGGAGACAAAATATCCGCAGGTGATGTACTTTGTGAAATTCAAACTGATAAGGCTGTTATGGCTTTTGAAACCGAAGAAGAAGGAGTATTAGCTAAAATATTGGTAAGTTGTTATTGAAGTATTATTAATATAATTATGCAGCATTTATATGTAGTAGTTATTTTTCTTTATAGGTTCCTGAAGATGCAAAAGAAATTAAAGTTGGTTCTTTAATAGCACTCATGGTAGCCGAAGGAGAAGATTGGAAAAGTGTTGAAATACCTGATGCCAAAAGTGTTGCACCTGCTGCTTCTGATGCTCAGGAAGAATCCGAAGAATCAGAACAATCTACTGGAGGAAATAGTACGATCATATATATACATATATACATTTAAAATAAATGTTAATACTTTATTTTTCTTGTTTTTGTTTTTTAGCTCCAGGAATTGAATTAACCATGCCATCACTCTCACCAACTATGTCTGAAGGTACAATTATTAAATGGCATAAGCAACCAGGAGATAAAGTTTCAGCAGGAGATGTCTTATGTGATATTCAAACAGACAAAGCAGTTATGTCATTTGAAACTGAAGAAGAAGGAACATTAGCCAAAATTTTGGTATATAAAAATAATATTTATTTCATTGAAAATCTATTATTAGTTATGAATCATATTTAAGTTAGGTGACGATAGTAAAGACGTGAAAGTTGGTGATCTAATTGCACTAATGGTTGCTGAAGGAGAGGATTGGAAAGATGTTCAAGTGCCTGGAAAGAAAAAAACTAAATCATCAGTAGCAAAAGAAGACATTCAGAAACCTAAAGTTGAATCTCAGACATCATCGGAACCTATTACTAGACATTCATAGTAAATATTGAATACTGTTACTAATTTAACTTGAACTTGGTCTTAACATTATTGTTAAATTGTAGCGATGGTTATAGTCCAGCTGTGAGGTCACTTCTAGAATTATATGCTATTGATGGTTCTAAAATTAAAGGAACTGGAAAACAAGGAAAACTCTTAAAAGGAGATGTTTTAAAGCATGTGACTGAAAAACAATTGTCTATCAAACCTCCTAGAACAGGTTAATACTTTAATTTTACTAAAATGTACCATGTATATTAAGTATTAAATTTGTTTATAGTACCCTTGCCAGGTGAAACATCCTCATTTAAATCTGTCGCACCGACAACCATATCAAGACCCACTAAAGGACCTAGTTATATTGACATTCCATTAACTGGCATGAGATTAACAATTGCTAAACGATTAACTGAATCTAAAGTAAACATATCGTTTAACAATGTGTAACAAATTGTGTAACTGAACGAATGTTTGATATTTTTAGACAATGATTCCTCATGCCTATGCTACAGCCGAGAGCAATATTGATTCACTTTTGGGACTTCGTAAGCAATTAAAATTATCCGGTATTAATGTTTCTGTAAATGATTTTATCATTAAAGCAGTTGCTATTGCTCTAAAACAGTGTCCTCTTGTCAATTGCCACTTTGTCAATGATAAAGTAATTGATTGAAATTACTATTTATCAAAATGTATATTTTATTTACAATGGTACTTTACTATTATTTGTAGGTAGTTTTACAGCAAACATCTGATATTTCTGTAGCAGTTGCTACTGAATCTGGTTTGATAACTCCTATTGTAACTAATGCAGATGGTAAAGCATTAGATGAGATTTCTGCCGAAATTAAAGAATTGGCAGGACGTGCACGGATTGGTAAACTGCAGCTTCATGAATTCCAAGGAGGCAGTTTTACGTATGTTAATGATTAAAAAATGCGTAATACACTATATTAATATTTATCTAATTTGCTTCTTTTTTTTTTTTTTATAGAATATCTAACCTTGGAATGTTTGATATATCTGAATTTAGCGCTATTATAAATCCTCCACAGTGTGGTATATTAGCTATTGGAAGTGGACGACCTGTTATTGGTAATTAATTATTTAATTATATTTAAATAATGGTATATTTATCATTGCATTATGTTATAGCATTAAATGGTAAACCACAAACAATTATGACAGCCACATTATCATATGACTCACGTGCTATAAGTGAATCTGCTGCATCAGATTTCTTAGAAACTCTGCAAGGTTTATTACAAACGCCAGCATCACTTCTTTTGACGTCAACAGCCACCAAAAAGCGTGCTTCAAATTAAGTGAATCAAAATTTCCCAGTTAAATGTTTTTGTTAAGTTTTTTTTTTTTTTTTGGCTCAAGCTCTAATATTTGTTATATTATAATAAGATCTATATAATATAAATGAAACAAAATATAGCTTTAATTTTTTTTTGTAGTATAAAAATTATTTGCATTAATATTCATTAGTTGTATGATACACATTTAAGAATAATATGATGATTATATTATTCATACAATTATAATTAAACATAAATGGTTGAACTTAAACATATTAAACATATTAAGCTGGTGCAGGAGGCGGTGGTGGTGGAATACTTGGTTTCCAGTTCATCGGCATCATATTGTTAGGTTGTATTGGTGGAGGTGGTGGCATCGGTGGTCCACCTGGACCCATTGACATTGGAGGTGGCGGTGGGGGCATCATGTGGCCTTGCATATGTGATGGTAAACCAGGATGTGAAGGTGGTAATGGTGGTGGCATTTGTCCTTGTTGTGTTGGGGGTGGAGGAGGTGGTGGCACAAATCCACCATGAAATCCTGGAGGTGCAAAATTGTTGAAACTTGGTGGTGGTGGTGGTGGCGGTTGGTATGAAGGAGGTTGAGGGGGTGTCTGTTGATTTTGCCAAGGCATAATTCGAGGTGGTGGCGCCATTTGATGTTGAGCCATCATGGACATGGGTACTTGCATAGGAGGTTGCATAATAGGTGGTGGAGGTACTGGCATTTGATGCATCATTGGCATTTGAGTTGGCGGTGCATCAGCAAACAGTTGATGGGGACGGTCAGCTTGACTAAGTGGATTTTGAGCTGCCAATAGTCTTTCAGCAGCTGATCCGTGTCGTTCCCCTTTAACATCTTTTTTGAATGCATATGAAATAGACACAGCTCTGTTACATAAATGTTGACCATTCATAGCTTCTATTGCAGCGTCAGATGCTTCAAAACTAGCATAATTTATGAATGCAAATCCTTTTGAATTGCCTGTATCAGGATCTCTCATTATCTAAATCAAAAACAATTTAAATTTCAAGTGAATATCAATCAACAAATTAATTCTATACTTCATAGTTCTTATTCATTCATTTATATAAAAAGATCCATTTATTTAATGTAAAAGTATTTTTTTTTAAACGATTGAAAATATCCAAAAAATTAAGTTTTTGGTTTTTCATAATGTATAATAATTTTTATCTACCTTTGAAATGTATGTACATGTTTTGTACAGTTTGTGAATAATTTTTCATATCATGTATAAAAACTTGAGTGAAAATAAATGAGCAAAATCACACACAAAAATTTGTAAAATCATAGGATATTCATCAAAAAGTTCAACGATTTAAATTAAAACATTTACTCATAATTATTATGTCAATTCAGTTAAGGTCAAAGTGTAGTTTTAGAGCTATGGTTAAGAGGTCAAAATTACTTAAAACATTTGGTATTGGAAAATTAATTTGTTATTTAAAAAAATGCAAGTTGTATTGTGTATCCACACACTATATTAAAGTTTAAAAATCATCAAAAAATATGTATTTAGGTATATCTTATCTCCTTCTAAAAACTCCATATCAATCTGAGGTTACTGTATTAAAATACTTTGTGTTACATTTAAAAGGAAACATACTGTATATTTATATAAATAAATATATATGTATGTGTGTCACTATGAGTGTTTCTGCAATGAATTTACTCAACATCAATTGTGTAAACAAAAAAAAAAAAATTACTAATATTTATATAAGTTATATGGTTTATGAGTAGGCTAATGTTAAAATGTTATATGTAATTTCAAAATTGTGTGACTTATGTAAAGTCGCATAACCGTTCAATAAATAAAAAATTCTGTATAATGTACATGCTAATAATTAATAAAAACTAAAAGATAGATATGATAATTAATAACTGATAACATTAACACATAAGTTTATGATCCATTTAACATAGAAAGTTTATGAATTCTTGTACAAGTCAATTTCTAGGTAGATTTGTACAAAATGACTAGTTAAAAATTAAACAAACATTGATAAAATATATGAAAAATATTTCATGATAAATAATTATAAATGAATAGATTAATAATCAATTAACTAACCTTTGGTGTTTGAAGAATTACACCAAAAGCAGAGAAAGTGTCATACAACAATTTCTCATCGACTTCTGAATCCAAATTTCCAATGAATACATTGGCACCAACATCGAGGTTCTTTTGATGAGCAGAAGCCTGGTATTAAAAAATAACAAATAATTAAAATATATTTAATTTATGGCACATAAGTATATATTTACAAGTTTATTTTACCTTGTTAACACGTATCGGTTTTCCATACAATTTTATCATGTTCATTATTTTAATTGCATAATCTGCATCATCTTCAGCAAGAAATTCAACAAAACCATAACCTTGATGTGACTGTGTCACTCGATCTTTTGGCATATGAACATTAACTAAAATAAATTATCAATTAATTTCAAAAATTATTAAATAGATATTTACACATTGTTACTTACCCACTGGACCTGCTTGAACAAACAACTCCCACATGAGAGTATCTGAGACTTTTTCATCAAGACCACCAACATAAATTGTTGCATCTGTAAAATATAATAGTTATAGTTTATAATGAAACACTTCTAGAACATTTGGTTCTATGTTTATATAAACGATAACAATAAATAGGTATGTAAATATTTTTAAGTATTATAATCTGTATCGAGTATCAACCATTTTATGCATACTTAGTGATTCGAATAAATTAGATATTGGTAAAACAATATGGTCTTTTGGTGCAGATCAAATAATAATACAACAAATTATGACAGTGTCAAGTATTCAATATGTGGTCATTTTTGGAAACACCATTTAATGTTCATAATACTATTTCTACATGTTATTGTAATACATGGTTCATATTATTGTAATACGAAGAACGCGGATGTTAAAGTTACCTTGATTTCTTTCTGCTATAGGTCCCGCGGCCATCGTTTAACTTCAATATAGCATGCGACGACCGGCAAAATTATAAAAGCTCAAACGTTATCGAACATACAAAACTGAAAACAGATAAAATGAGCCTTAAATTTATAGTTTATAATGTTGCTACTATATTCAGTGCCACCGTCTGCTACATCAGTATTGTATTGTTTATTGATAATAATATGATAACAGTTCCTATAGTCCACATTATAGAGAAATGATATCGAACAGCGTAGCCAACTTAGCTCCTAGGACAAAAATCTATATTCCATATTATAATCACAAAAAACCGCATTGTAGATAAATAGATATAATTCAAATTCACAATTTAAAGTTTAAACTTACTCAATGGTTTAAACTGTTCAAAGTATGGAAAAGAATAGATAATTAAATTGATAGATTTAAATGTTTATCTCGTTGGTGGCAATTTAGTATAAAGATAAACACATATTTATATCATCATTCATCTATTCTGTGCTGAGAGCCTAAAACGAGTAAAATCGCTGTTTCATTAAACTGTAAATTAATTGCTTTTATAGCTTAGTCACTAAGCTAGAAATTTATAGAAATACATAGAAAAATAGAAAAATAACTATACATGGAATAAATAATAAATATATTTGGTGTTAAAAAAAGAAATTTACAATTTTTATTTGTAAATTATTATTTTAATAAATTTATGTTATTAATCAAATGAAAATTCGATAAATTACTTTTATGGTTAATTGGCTAAATAATTATTGTTTCATAATCTTCCAATTTGATATATAATGTATAATAGTATAATGTTAAATTGTAATCCCCTTCCATCTCATGGACATAACTAAAATTTTGTCCCCCCTTGAGAATTTTTCTATGGGCGCCTTTGGCTTAGTGGCTGAAAGTATAAAACACCTCAACCCTCTAAAAAAAAAAATAATTGTTTTAATTTCATTTTAGATGTTTTATATTTTAAATGATTATAAGTATTGAAAAAATACATTTTTAACACGCTTACCCAAAAGTTGTTTTCAATACCGGATGAAGCGTTAGAAAGTTCATCTGTTTCGAGTCATTGAAAAATTGGTATTCAAATTAAAAACAAATAACCATTAGGTAAATATGAACGTATTTACATGCTGATAAAGTTTATTTAATATACCTAAATTGTAGCTTTAAAATTGTAGACGGGACATCTTCGTGCTTTTCTATAAAATAGTTACCTAAGGCGAATCTAGTTGCCGATAACGACATGGACAATTCATTATAATTTTTTTAGTATCAATGGAGATTGAAAGTATTTTCGAAGATTACAGAAACGTGATAAAAAGTGATATGTATGGTTCGTCCAAGAAGGACAGAATACTATTGAATGAAATCACAGTTAAATTATTTTATTACATATTTTACCATACTGTTCATAATACCACTTCGATTATTGTTTCCATATACTCATTAGTGATTTACAATTAACACTAGTAATATTTTCGTAACTTTTAATTATAATTTTCATACTGTATATAATTTGTTGATAAAATATAGGTAAATTAAGTAAATTAATTACATTTCAATGTATATACATAGGTAAGTAACCTATGTTGACGTAGCCGAGATTTTAAAATGAGAGGAGGGGGCCAAAGCCAAAATATAAGGTACCAAAACAAAAATACTTTGAACTACTCTCAATAAGACATCGAAATAACTTCGAAATACAAATATTATCAACTTATCTATGTTATGTATTTAACAAACGTTTAAAATAAACTACATAAATATGTAAATACGTTGATACAGCCAAAAGAGGAGGAATGCCCCCCCCATGACTATGCTACTATATGTGGTTATGTGTAATATGTATATAATTTAAAGAAATACGTGATTTTTCAAGAGAATGATTTTAAAATTTAAAATTATATTTGTTATTCCAAAATTTTTGTAGATACCTACACGTTATGAATACTTGAAATTTATTTTAGTGTTTTACATTTTGCATAAAAATACAAATTTAATGTGCACCATTCCTGAAGCTAACTAAAAAAACCATGTTTTTAACTTTTTTCTATAATTTCTATACAATAATGAAGTGTATAACCAGTAACAATATTTAGTGAAATAATTATTTAAAATTTGTGGAACCAAAAGAATTACTTGATTTCATCTGATTAAATAATTATTTACACTATATTTTTACATGTTATTAAAGAGAACGCGATAATAATATGTTTTTATTTTAATCAATTATGGTTGATTGTATTTGTTCACAAAAAATAATATAAATGTTACTTAATAAATTACAAATAGTAGTTATTTTAGTTATTTTTTTAAGATTATTTTGGAAGGTTTCATGGAAATTAGTTTATGGTTATATACAGTGGCGTAACTACATGGTTGCATAGGTGTGTATTGCACCGGGGCCCGGGGCCCGGGGCCTAGACGCTCCAAAAGGGGGCCCTAGAATTTTAATATTTTGTTTAAAATATATTAAAATTTTATATTTTGTTAATAATTTTAAACTATTTTATAATAAATATACTACGATAAAACCATAAACTTTTATATTACGAAGAGTATAAAAATACATATTATTATATCATTTATTTCATGTATAAGTATAATTTAATTAATTATGATATATTTTATGAATTATAAATATTATAATACATAATATAATTATACATTTTATATATACGTATAATTGTCTAATTTTATTCATATAATGATTTTTAGGGGCCATAAAATAATATTGCACATGGGCTAGAATTTTATAGTTACGCCACTGGTTATATAATATATATGATCAAAAAGTTTTGTATATTTTTGATTCCGACAAAAAATTACATCAATGATACATTAAAAGTTATTTTATTAAAAAAAAAAAAAACATATAAAATAAAATAAAATAGAAAATTTGCAAATACGTATTGTAAAATTAACTAAAAATGTATAGTTGCACCTAATCCAGGAAACTAAAAATATAACATTGCAGTAGGAACAACAAATCAAAAATATTTATTAATGATCAACGTAAAAAATATACATTCAAATAGCCAATAGATTGAACTATAATTCAATATTTGTTTTGAACAATAATTTTAATTACTCTGAAAGATTAATTACTGATTGATTACATATATTGGATTAAGACTTACCTAATATAAAAATATAGGAAATTTAAAGTACAAGATAATATTTCAAATATAATGCAAAAGCTTAAAATGTTTCATTGAACAATTTACATTAATATTTTAGTCAGTACATCATTGTATCAATATAGTTCTTTTATTTTCATTTCTACATGCCATTCTTTTACATGTTTGGATTGAAGATTATTTATGATATTTCTAAAAATAAAAATCCATATTATTCCGTAAATTGTACATATGATAGTTTCTATATAAAAACCATCGATATAAACTTCACAGGTTCCACCAAACAAACTGCACATTTCCTATAGATATATAGACGAATAATTAAACTTAACAATATTTGCTTGATTTATTTATTTTACTGTTTTACCTTCTGATTATTTGACAAACAAATTTGTCTAGGACCGTTTGAACATCGTTTAAAAGATAGAAATTCAATAAGCCATAAAGATCCAGTTTTGCTCCACGCATCTCCTAAATTAGATATAGTTGCCAACAGAGTCATATTTGTACCTCCGATTTTTGGATCACTTATGCTTGCATAAAATGCCATTGATGTTAATTTCATAACATTCACACTCAACTAAAATGAAAATAAACGTGGTATCTATGACTTAATGAGTTAACAAAAACAGTAGAACAGTTAAACATTTGTTAAAAATTCAGTGAAATAAGACATCTATTCATATGTTTGACACGGGGTATAAACAGCTATAAAAGAACAAAAATATAAATTTGTAAAAAAATTAAAAACAAAAATAATTAAATCAATATTAGTAGTCGAAAATCAGAATATTAAAAATATGATTATATTCATTATAATATGAAAACCATACAGCTATAAAGTTAAGTATTATTGAAACTATGAGATACATTTTTAAATATTTTAATTGTGTACCTATTCAATTATTAGGTATTTAATTAACTATCGGAAAAGGATAAAAACTATCAAACGATTAATAGACAACCATAAACTAAAAATTTTAAAGTGAATATATTTATTACCTGTTGTAAACTATACATTAACACTAAAAATATTCTGTACGTCATAAGTAATGATCCAGTCTGAACCAAAAAATAAGGTGTTAAGCTTGCGATAAGTGTTAAAATTACACCGAATAATAATCTAAAAAATAATATAAAGTGTTAAACATACAAATTATGTAGTAAAAATAATAAAATTATGGTGATAATTTTACCGGTAGGGTATAGTATTGAAATAATTTATTAATGGTTTTTCTTTCGATGTAAATTTTGCAACAAAAAATGGTAAGCATAAATTTAAAGGTATAATTAACAAATCCATAGAATTAATTTCGTCTTTGGTGATTCCACAATTTATAAGTTTCAATTTAAACGCGGCATCGACTGAACAAAAACTCATCTAAATTAATTTAAATGTTGTAGATATAAGTATACTGTTTAATATTTTAGTAAAAAATACACTTACTTTAATAGTAAATAATATAATTGCAAACTTTTTGATACTTGGTAATTTCATTATACTGAAAAGTAACATATACGTTTTGACAATGCTAAGATTAACGGCATTAAATTCTGTTAAACAATCTTTTTCATATTTAAGTATGGCTACCAACGTGGTAACGACTATATAAATAATTCCCCAAAAATAAAAATATCCTAAACAAAATATTATTATTAAAAAAAAATACATTTATATTTTATGTAAGTGTATAATAAAATTATTTAATATAGAGTAAAATAATATATGTATATATAGGTTAAAGATAGATGTATTGAAATTCGGAGCGTATAATATAAATTATACTCACAAATTTATTTATAAGAAAATGTGTAAGAGTGAATGGCTAATAATTATATTATTTTATAATTTGTTTTAAATTCTAAGGTTACCCGTGACTCGCCACACTATTATCTTTACTCGAGAACTATATAATGTATTAATATAAAATAATTATAAACTTAGCTACACTTATAGCTATTATGTAATTATATCACTTATTACTAAAAAATAAAAATAAAATCATTGATACATTATATGGATGATACTTGAATAATTTATTATGTACCTACATTATTTTTGTTAATGATGTGTGGTTTGCGAATTAAAAACTAAAAAAGTATATTTTGTAACTAATTTTCTGGTGCAGCAAGAAGTTTTTTTGAATTTACATTTTAGGAAAGTATGACGTACACTCAAAACATTATTATTATATACCTAGGTTACCTTGTAAAGTAATAACTGCACCGTTTGGTAGAAACGATTTCGATATCAATAAAACCGACAAATTATAACCCAAAAATATTCCGAAGATTTGTCCAGCATTATTACACATTGAAGCGTAACTAATATTTTGCCTACAACATAATGAATTAATAATATTTAATACTCATTTATTAATAAACAACTTTTATTTTTTTTCCAATAATGATAAATACAAACTTTTTTAACATGGTTAATGCCCAACCATCTACAACAATATCTTGAGTGGCAGCAAGGAAATTTAAAATAAAAAATATTAATGTTAAAGCATTAATATTTAGTTTATTTTCATTATTTAACCATTCGTTTATATAATAACCCGTAATGAAGAAAAATATGCCTATAAAATAATCAAAACACATGATTAAAAATGTTTAGGTACCATTTCAATTGTACCTATTTTGTTTTGACTTTTTAAATGATATGTTATTTCAAAAATTTATTTATACCTAAGAAATACTGAACTGGAATTAACCATGATTTTCGACGGCCTAATTTTCGTAAAAACAAAGAATCAACTAATGGCGCCCACAAAAGCTTCAAACTGAATGGCCATATTGCCAAACTAAATTTAGCCTATATAAATAGTATAAAATATGTTATTATTATTTTATCTTTTAAGTTGTAAGATTTTTTTTTAGTAAATCATCTATTATTTTACTTACTTGTTCTTTAAATGATGATCGATGCATGTTTTGTATAATAATAGGTATTGCTAAGGATAAACCTAATGGTACTCCTTGTAAGGTATACAACACCAATAGTACAAAAATATTACGCTTATCTCCTTTCGAATCCGTTTTAATGGGAGTGTCATGTTTTTCGATTAAAGATTCAATATGAGTAGTCTCAATCATCTTCAATTATGTTTCACAACTGTCAGTTGTTATGTATAAGTATCTGAAATAACAGTAAAAAAATTAAAACCTAATGCATTGTTATTAAAACTATGAAATCTCAATTTATATTAATTAACACTTATATTTTATTTATATATATTATATATATATTATAGACTATAGTATAGAATATGGTATAAAATGTATAATTAATAAAAGATGCATCAGTAACACAAAACTTTAATATGTAGGTTATATTATATTGTATTATACATTAGTTTAGTTCAGTATTAGTCGGTTTAAGTATATTCTCAAACATCTTACTAATTTATTAGCACTGGTAAGTTGTAATTTCAAAATAGTGTCAAGCCGAATAGCAAAGCCATTATTATAATATAATCAGTGAATAAAAGAATGTTTTAAATCATCCGCAACACTAAAGTTTCCTTTTGAAACAAATTGTGTTAAAATATACATAAATATGTACTAAAAACATGATAAAAATATTTATAAAAATTATTACCAATAATTCCCTAACTATCATTTAATGAAATTAAAGCATCTTTTAATTTTAAAGTAAATTAAGTGAGAAAACCTGAGCCACTTTTTATGTATAGCTAAATCATTTTTCTTAGACTTACTTCAAATAATATAATATTTTTAATAAATATTAAATATACTTCTTCAAGATATCAAAGACAAAAATCACTGATTATATAAAGTTAAAATTATCAGCGCGTGATATAACGGAGGAGTATCTAATTACTTTCATTTAATACATCATAAAGCATGTATTTTTCGTGTTTATAGTTAAAACATACAATAACATTATGCTTTATATACCAACTAAAAATATACAAAATAAAAAAATATATAATAGGTATCAAAGTAGAGTTATGTTTTAATTAATAAGAAAATATGTATAACACGAGTATTTTAGATCTACCATATTAAAAGAGGATTGTTTGAATTTTCAATATATGTTTATATAACGTTAATTAAAAAAATATACAAATAACTCCTAATCTAACCTTAACATAACTTTGCAATTGAATTTTTAGTTTTTTAATAAAACAAAATTTATTTAAGAATTGAAAACAAATATAATAGATACAAATTTCAATAAACAATTTTAGACTATTTGGAAAAAAAAGAAAGATGCCAATTCGAAATTCTCAAGTGAAAAATATATAATATTTTTATTTTACTATATTAAACATATTAATCGAAAAAAATATATATAATATTATATAGCCACGAAGTTTTTTGGAGACACTTTAAAACGATATAACGTTAAAAACTACGAGCACAACACTAATTAAACACTCTAGAGCCTTGAAAAATATGTTAACCAAAATGTTGTTAACAAATTTCCTTCGATAACTCTATTAATCTTATCATAACAACGCCAAATATTTATTATTAAAATTATTATATTTTGCATAGTTGTTAAGGTATGTAAAATCATTTACCACACGTTTAATCAGTGGGTATTACTAGATTTATCAATTTTTGTCCTATTGCCGTACCATGAACATTAATAGGTATAAATAGATATGTAATTCTAGACTTATTGAGTGTATTCAGCAGATTTGCACAATTCTTATTTTCTTTCCTATAATTTCACAAACTTCCATGATTGATTTTCGCTCCCTCTATATTAATTTTATATATATTTTTACTCATAATTTTATTAAAATAAATGACCAACTTGGTAACTGTGGTTAATTTAGCAATTTATTTCACCGTTATAAAAGAGTAAGATACGTGTTGAATATCTCACCCAATAATAAATTTCAAACTAAATTATATGTATCTAGTCATATAGAATGAAATTACTCACCAAAAAAGTAAATAGATTAATTAATATGAGTTGATTTTACATCTTTCCATAAACGTCCATATACTGAAATATAATAAATGGTTAATATCGATTTGGAGTTATGACAAACAATTCATTTTCATTTCATATAAAATATATCTATTATTTACCAATATTACAATCAAAATCACATTAATTTTTCAATCAATTACGGCTTTATCTGTTATATAAAAACTGTTTAATTTATTTTATGTACGGCTGACTATCACTTCCTACAAGATCTATAAAAATATGTAGAATATATAAAATTAGTAAACAAAATTTTCAATACTAACTAGATAATAAATAAAAAACGTATTTGTACACATGAAAATATATATAATAATTAACAACTATCATATTTTAATAATTTATATTATGTATAAAGTCCGATTAAAAAAAACAATGATGGGTTTTATTTTATTAAGTGTAAATGAAAAACGATTCTAAACAAATGAAATGAATAGGTAAGATTCTATTTCTAAAGATGATTTCTCTTGTATTATATTTAAAATTCATACTATTTTAAGCAATAATAGTTATTGAAAATTTCATTCTGTGTATAGAAAATAATAAAATACATAATGCTAAAAGTTTAAATCATTTGTACGCAAAAAAAAAAATAATTAAAAAAAAATGATTATATTTTGTTAAAATATCTAATTTTATCAAAATTTTAATTTCAAAATAAATGCATTTAAAAAAAATATAACTATATTTATATGTTTTCAATATTTTTAAATTGCTGTTATAACAAAAGCGACCTTCACAAATTGATATTACATTTTAAGCATTATAAAATAATAACAATATAATTTTACATTTTACTACAACGTAGTTTACAAATGTTGTACATTTTCATGTTTTTTTTTTTATCATTTAAAACTTTACCGGGCGCAACACGATTGTGCACTTTTTACCTTTTTATATTTGAAAAAATTTAACACGATTACGCACAAAATTAATTAAATTTTATATTGTTGGCTTCAATAGTTATAGTTTAAAATCTGAACTAGCTACTAGGTGTTTGGTCAAAACAATTTTTTGCATTTGGATTTTTACCCTCAAAGATATAGAAGATGCTTTTGCTTATTTAATTGAAAATGGCCCAACTGATAATTTTAAATTCACTAATTATATACTGAACAATTGTATGTCATCTGATGCAGCATTTCTACTAATATTATGGGCAACTGAATCTTTAACAGATGCAAGAAATTAAAATTAATTAGATAAAAGATTCACAACCGTGTTGTATTTTTTTCAAATATAAAAAGGTAAGAAGTACGCATTCGTGTTGCACCAGTTAAACTAACTCATGAGGAATTTTGAATTATTTTTTTCAATCTTTTTTTTATCAAAAAACAAAACGTGAAGTACCTATCAACATAAATTAAAGAAGTAGAAAATATTAAATGCAATCTATTTATAGTTCAAAAAGAGCCACGTTTATCCTAGGACTTCATTATCCTTATTATTTAAAAAATGCATATAATTTCCTACCTAAGACTTTAACTAGTTCTTTTTGAAACCACCCTCAGTACTGAAAACTAAAATAAATGTCTCCATAAGGAAACAATAATCACGTGATAATAAACAAAAAAACTATCCACCACCGATCAGAATCTTAAGAATGTACATTTGTAAATAATTATATTTTTAGATTGAAATCAATAAAATCTAAAAAAACAATGTATGTCTTTTTTATGTCCAAGGGTACACTTTTTATATTCATAGAAGAAAAAAAATGCTTCGATTTTAAATTGGATTATGTTGTTTGTAGAAGATCGAATCTAGTTAATCTAAATAATATGTACAATATTTATATATTTTTTTAGTTTATTGTAATTCAAAAAATATTAACTTAAAATAATTGAAAATTTTTCTGAATGTTTATATTAAAATTTATTGTAAAATTTTTAAAATATTTTAACTTTTTTTGAGCTATTTATAAACATTTTATGATATTTTTATAAGCAATTAAAGTTCAATTTTTTTTTTTTTACGAAATACATTAGAAACACGAAAATGTGCGACTTATTTTAAAGATAAAAATGTTTTAAACAAAAAATTTGAAAATGCAATAGGTACAATGATTCTCATAAGTACTTCATAATGAAACTAAAAATCTAAAACTTAAAAGATATTTAAACACAATTTTTTTTTTTTTAAGACACAAAGTTAAAATTTTGATGAAATGAGATATCTAAACACAAAACAATTTAAGTTATTTAGCTGTATCTATTTCAAATATATTATTTATTGGAGCTTCAAGTTGTTATATATAATATTATTAATAATTATTATATTTTATAAATCCTATGACTTTTCAAAATATTTAGATTAATGTTATGCTATTGCGTTTTTTTATACATTTGCACTCTGTTTTATTGTAAGTTGGTATTAACTCAAAAGTTAATAAAAATATTATATAATATAAATATATATACTAATGGTTAATTATACTATTATAAAAATTAATAATTTAATAAATGCTATGTTTTAAATTAAAAGCAAAATATTAATTTCTAATAGCAATATTATAGCGATATCATATTTCATGAAATATACTCAGAAATATAAACAAATATATACTTAAGCAGGGCTCATAACTTATAGCTCTAAATATTATTATTATTAGCGCAATAATATTTTCTTAAAAAAATTCATATTAACACTGAAATATGCATGAATACTAAAATATGCTAAAAATACTAAAAATTATCTTGTTAAAAAAAAAATAGTAATAAAAATTAAGTTTTTTATGATATTTTAAAGATATATTTATCTTTAAAGTTTCATTAATTATTAAATGTTTATATATAAGTTTTCAAAATGAAATTATTTGCGGTTATTACTGGGTAAAGTCTTGTACATTGAGAAATATCGCTCGATGTCTACTGACGTGATTGGTGACGAGAAAACTTGTTGAGAAATCTGCAGAAAGTCGGAAACCAGATATAAGTTCCATGTTCATATTATTACCCGATAACACATTTGAAATATTTTTTTTTAATTTTAATAACAACATTTTTGTTCACGACGTTGTTAAATTTTTTCGAAATAGCTTTTTAATTGGCCCTTGAAGAGTTTCAAATTCTTTTTCCAAAATTTTCAAATATATTTATAGTTTTAGTTACCTAATGATTAGGGTTCGGATTTGAAGGCATTATAATCAATAAAAAAAGCATAAGAAAGGTAGAATATAACTTACACAAATTAAAAGGTAATGAAAAACCCTTCAATATCAACAAATACCGCAGAAATAAAAAAAAAAAAACAGAAGCACACAAAAACGAGATTGTTAATGAAAAGATCAGGGACAGTTTCGAAAAAATAGTAAACTTCATCCAAAAGCAATTTTCTACAAACTCTGAATAAAATTTTATCCTTAAACCAACCCTTTTCCCTTTAAAGAAAGGAATAATAAATTAATTAATAAAAAAAAAAAAGAAGATATGTTATAACGATTTTCATTTTTGTATTGCAAACAACACTTATTATGTCTATGTTTAAGTTAGTTATATACTTCCATACTATAAAATTTTTTAACCACCTCCATAAATACGTATATATTAATTTATTGTAAAACAAAACATAGGTCTATGATTAAATTATCTCTATACCTTTATGTAAAAAAAAAAACAACTCATAAATAAGTACATATTAATCTGATGTAAACAACACATATTATGAAATGTCTATGTTTAAGTTATTTCTATACCTTTAATCTTTATATTATATAAGAAAAAAAAAATATTATATTATGGAAATTTTAAAATTATCAAAAATATAAAACACTATAATATTATATACTCTTAAAAATGAGGGCATTTTTTTTAAAAAACGATGGGGACTGTCGTATATGTAAACGGTCGTCAATTGTGTTTTTTTGATATAGGTAGAAATAATTTTTGCGACAGAGGAAGACTGTCGCCGAACGGACATAGTGTTTTTTTGAATTATTGTTTTCATTGTTTAATATAAAGTGTTTCCGACCAAATTAGTATATGTTTTGATTGAGTAGCCACGCAATTCTGTCGTACTCTTTGAATCCGATCTGAAACCGGTTAATTTGTGGTCGTTGGGGGTTGAAAGTCTAAACAAATAAGATAGCAATATCGACTTTTGAGAGCCATCTGAAACCGGTTAATTTGTGGTCTTTTGGTGACTCAGTTGTTGGTAGAGGTATATCATCAAAAGGTGGGTATATGACAATCGATATTACTAAAATTGTCCTCTACTTCCTTACACGTAATATGGACCATTTAAAAATAAAATTATTTCAATAAATTAGTAGCTTTTATCATATAGCTAGCATGTCGCAGAGCTCTCCTCTCGCCCCGTACCGATTCTAAGAAGAACAGGTAAACATGATATTAATATTCAAGACTATTTAAACCGTACTTACTTCTTATAATTAAGAAAAAATGTGTTTTGAAGGCTAACGTATTGAAACAAACTCAAAAAGTTAAAATAGCATTTAAACTTCAAAACATGAAAAAATAAGCAATATAAAATTTCGTACACAGCTTCTTGATTTTCCAAAAAAAATTATAACTCACGTGGACATCTCCACGGCACCTCAAATAAAAAAAAAAAACAACATAGGTACAACATACAACTGCTAGAAATTATGAGCTCTGCTTATGAGTATTTGCTCAGAACCGTATTTCATAAAAAATGATTAATCATTGAATTTGAATTAAATACATTACAGTTTAATGAAGATATACTCGACCTGGGCAACCACCTATTGATTTGCTCACTCGACATTTTTTAAGCTGACTTAGTTACATGCAAATATACAAAGAATGTTAGTTGTCACCCAACCAATTTAAAAGTGGTAAACAATATATAAACTAATTCTGTTAAAAAATATTAAATGAAAGTGAATTTTTTTTGATAAAATACCATTACTCTGCGAAATTACAAAAAATTTGCACATTCACACATATCATAAAGCAGTCTGTAATAAGTGCGAGCGTCAGTTATCGTCAATTGTTAATTCCTAGATTTTTAAATTTTTATTAACATTCACAACTTCAATATAAAAAGCTTAGTACTAGACACTAGCAATTACACAAATTGCCTCTAAAAAAAAAAAAAACGACACCACAGCACTTAACACCTTAACTTGCTCTTCTCCTTTTTTAAAAATTTAAAAACTAATTTTTATGTTTGTTATTATTTATTAACTTATGAATTAGTAAAAATATGTCAATCCTAAACTTTGATGGTGGTTCTTCCCGTTTATAGAAACAAATTAGATTTTAATTGTACTTATGTGAAAGAGATCAAAACTCAAAAGAAAAAATGTCAAATTATTCACAAAATATTCAAGAAAAACGAATATTTTTACTGCCAATGCTACTCAATCTATTTCAAAAAATAATAATTATTCATCGTATTTCAAAAATGAATAATCGTTTGAAATATTCATCAATTATTTATATTAGTATTTACTTAATATAAAACACTACATTATTTTCATATTACCTATTTTTGCTTTTTTTGTGTTATTTAAAGTTGTTTGATTTATTCTAGTTTATTTTGAAATTATGCATTACCTATACAATTATTAAAATTGTTGTTTATTATTAAAGAAGCTTAAAAATTAAACTTAAGATCCCTTTTAAAGCTGTATTATAGAAACTTAAAAATCTCAAAAAGAAAAAGACGCATGCATAATTAAATTTTTAACCCTGGTGTAAATATATTAAAACTCTAATTTTGAATGTTGGATATTTAATACTTATTATATATTTGCGCAGTGTCTATGAATTTTGTGAAAATCAAAGGAAATAAACGATAAGACATCTATGTATCGTCAAGTATCCTAAATTATCCTATATATTTTTTATCTATTTTAATCTACTCGTTTTTCATGCTATAAATTGTAAAACTAACTCACTCAATTTGAAAAATGAATAAAGATTCAATTTTGGACAACATGCTGATGATATGTCAAACGATGTCTACCAATATCGATTAGAGAACAATATTTACAATCGGTTCGACGGAAATAAACGAATATAAATAACTGTAGCGTAAATATAAAGGTATAAAGTAGAAAAAAAGAAAATCCATTTTTACGTGGTAACAAAATGAAAATAAAATACTTAAACGTGATGAACAATAATACAACGCATGCCGGTTTATCAATCACTTAGATAATAAAATATGATAACACACAACAACAGACTGTTCAGATAAAAGCAGCTGAAGTAATTAGTCAATTTCTTCCAAGGGATATATATACTCTGTTCCAATATTCCAAATAAGATGACTTGTGCGCAAACGACCGAATTTACGTTCGGTTTGCATCGGAGTAGATCGCTTGCCATCGCCCGCGTTGCAAAATCAGTCATCGCGTCGTGCTGCTTAGGTGCTTAGTGCTTACTGCTTAATGCCTTAATCGAAGTGTTTGCGTAAATGCGCAATGAGTGCGGACCGTTAGCGGTCCACTGTGCGCGAACGCGAGTCATCTTATTTGAAACTCTAAGGATGCGAAAACCGATGTCAAAATTGATATATTGAGAATATTCCCCCAAAAGAAACGATAAATTAATATTGATATTTAATTTTTTTTTAAATTAAAATAGTTTAATTTTGATAATTTTTTCGAATAAAATTGTAATCGAGTCAAAATATTTTTTTTTATTTGATGGCTTTTTTTTGCTGTGATTAGATCCCTTCCATGGAAAATTTCTGGATCCTCCCCTGTCATCATCTAATCAAAATATCACTACCTATCAGAACAAAAATATCGAAATTTAAATATCGATGTAAAAATATGGACATTTCGATACAGTCGATATTTTTTTCGTATCCTTATTTGAAACAGAGTATATTATAGTATATAACCATAACCTACTGTACTGTGCGTGAAAAACAATTGATATTCGGATATTCCCGCTAAAAGTTTCATAACATGATCATGATGGGCCCGGTTTTAATGAAATAAAGGGGCGATATCAAATTTATTGAAATTTAATTGTACCTAATGATAAAGTTTCTCAAATTTATGCATCACTTATTAATCTATCACAAAAAATCGAAAAAATTTAAAGAGTATGAAATTAGAGTTAAATTAATATCAAAGATTACCGAGTACAATGTTGATACAACTGGCATAAATTGATATAAACTCATATACAAGTTTGAAGAATGTATCTTTAACATTAATTATCAATAAAAATAGTTTAACACTTAGGAAATTAAATTTTATTATTTAAATAACATTTTAAAAATTTTTTTGCATACTTACCTACCTAATTAATATATATTTTATAGTATAGGTAATTATAAGTGATAATTCAATTAGTGCAATATATTATTTTAGTTATCTAGAGAGGCAATTTTTCACAGACCTACACGCGGGAAACATGTAAATATGCCCTTGGGTGATACACTATAATAACTTAGGGAGCCCTTTTTAACTAAAAATATAATTATGTTAACATTTTTTTCTTTTCTGTTCTATAGTAGCCGCTTATCAAATACGATATTTTATGATCATGTAAATAAACGAAATTAACACCAGTCACCACTATGTTTGTTTGTTTACATTTTACACGAAGCTGTTATTGGGCAGTTATTTGCAGATTAGTATAGAAGTTAAGTTACTCTATAGAAATTTAAACCATGTAGAGTAGGTAATATAGGTACCAAACCGATAAGTATTATATATTTTACCAATACATTGCAATAGTGCTTTAAATATCCAATAGTCATGCTTAAATACTTGTATTACTATTTTTAAGTATATAAATAGGGATCTATGTAACTACTTTTTGAATGTAGATAATACAATTTTTTAGTATTGTACTAATATGGTTATACTATAAGCTACTTACACTACATAGTTATTCGAATTACGAAATTACAATAATTATATATAATTCTAATTCAACATATTCAAAAGTTAGGAAGTAGTGAAAGTACTGACTACTGAAGTACCTACATGAGTACCTAATAATGAATTACAAATAAAAATCTGAAGAGGTGAAAATGCAGAATCACGTAAATATTACGGAAAATTGAAAGCTACAAATAATTTAAGACAATACGGCATATACTATAATACATTAATTAAATAATTATTTGTTTCTACAAATTTTCAGAATTTATTAAATACAATCATTCAAAGAAAAATATCCCAACTAGCAACTACACTAATCTCTACCGCTTCACTGGAACATAAGTGAGTCATCTTCAGTTTACCGAGTATACCCATAGTAAAATATATATTTATTATTTATACTAAATACAGAAAATTCTGTAAGTTATGAATGTAACCTAGTGTGTCAATATGTTCAATAAATTATCATATAACAGTTTAAAGTGTTTAAACAATATCATACAGCAGTACCTAATGAATAATATTGAAAAAATATTTAATAATTAATAAGATATCTGCATAATATAAATACACTTAAACGTCTTTAAATGTTTTAATAATCAAAATATTAATAGACTTGGTAGTGATAGGGTTTACCTGATTGGTATTTAAGTATGTGTAAAATATCAGTAGTTGAAAAAGACTTATCCGAAAAAAAATTATTTAATCATAAGCAAATAGTTTTCGTTTAAATTTCGTAATCTTTTAAATTATAAGATTTTAACTAGATTCTTAATTTTTTTTTTTTTGTCTTATTATTATTATTATTATTGATGCGTAGCCATTTAGTGACATTATAAGATTTTAAATAAGTGCGTGTGCTAAAGTATTTCCAGTTCAATTTTATTAAAAATACAGTTTTTAACTTTTAAATAGTAAAAATTTTGGTGATTGAAAAGACATTTTACAATTTTATTAAAATATAAATGTAATTTTCATAACTACTATATAAATAAATATAATATTAAAAAAAAAATAAATACAATTTGGTTTTTTTTTTAATGTATTTTAAATGTTATCATATAATTACTATTTACCCTGCATAATATACGTACGTATATTTCATATATACACGATGCACTAAAACAAAATGTCTTAAAACTTTAATTACTTTTATACTTATTTATTAAATAAACATAAAATGTTTTAAAAGTACTATAAAAATAAGTGAACTTATTCTATCATTAATCACTTTAATATAAATCAATCAATATAAATGCTTAGATACCTATTAACTATTTTAAAAAATGGTTAATTATGTATATAAATTTATAATTGCTCTAATTTTAAGAAAAAAATCTACTTACAGTCTAGATGTTTGATAAATAATTTGTTGTTATTTCATAGTCTTAACTGGGTTTTTTTTAAATAAAATTCAGTGTCACTTTTATAATTAATTTAATATCAAATCGTTTCAAACAAAGCTAACGTGCCACAACAATTTTGATATTAAATTATAAATTATGAGAAATCTACGTTGTCAATGATCGTTTCACTTTAATATGATACGGAACGAATGACGACTGTAGATAGGTATGACAAATAAACTCTGAACGAAGCACCAATTAGAAAATTGATATACACATTAAATATTTATAATATATTTTCTAGTAAAAAATTATTATCTCTGTTATTCTTGTATATTATAATTTATTATTTATAAGTTATTATAACTGAGATTATGTTGCTCGGTCATAAGACTTAAATGATCGATTAATTGCCCAGTTAAAATAGAAATAATATCACGAATTAGTTTATAGCTTACTAAAATAATTTTGTTTATGTAAATAATTATTATAATGTTACGTCAATTTATTATTTATAATAATCAAACAACTAGTAATGATAGAGTTAATTTTAATTACCCTCATTTTGTATGAACACTAATTGTTTTATACAATACGATTCATGTACGATATCATATTATTATACCATAAATGTATAAAAATTAAATTGGAATATTATATCTTGTATAAATAGTAAGTTTTAATGATGAACCCATAGGTACTTACTACACGAGGTTTTCCAGAAAAACGGGAAAATTTGAAAGTAATGTTGGCAGAACTAATTATAAAATATAAATGGGCCATGTTATTTTTTAACACAAAAACTTAACTGCCGTTTAGTAATTATAGACCAATGGGCTGGTTTACAACGTGCAGTTGTTCTTAACATATTTTACAATGATGGATAAGTACACTATAACAAGGCTGTAAGGCTGTACCCAGAACAAATTTTTGGAGGGGGGATAGATTGACGTATATGTAGATTGTAGACAAATGGGCACCACTTTAAAGACATTAATTTTATAACATGCAATTTTTTATCATTGTAGCTTTTAATGACATATGTTAAGGTAATAAGGTATATAGTTTTTTTTTTCAATAAAAAATAAATAAGTAAATATGTACATTTTTTTGCTTTTTAATAAATTATTTCATATTTTCCTGAAGATCTTGTATAATATATTCCTATACTGACTATACTAACCTACACCAGTAGGTACTTACACTTTGTTAGGTTTTTAATAAACAATACTCCTAGATTTACAAGTATTTCCAGTATCTATTGGGTATTTGGTCACTAATCTACAGAGATGGATTTAGAAGTGAGAACAAGCCCCCACATCTGGAACGAACACCACGCACATTATATACATATAATTCCACATTAATATGTACAATTATTGGCGTTTGTATTAGCCTATGTAACTAATTTTCTTTTATAATCTTGCCTGGAAAATCATAATAATTTAAACTAACTACGTAGGTATTTAAAAAAGCTATTCTTAACTAAAATAATTTATATATCAATAAATATATTATATTCATTGATCTTAAATATTTCTATAGTGATTATAATTTTGTTTAAGAATAGTTTTTTTTATTCTCTGGAATTGACATATTTGTAAATTTGTTATTAATAAATTTACTATAACAATTATTTTAAGATCAACATAATATTTGAGTCAATATAATTTTTATTTACCACCAGAGTCCATGATATCGCTTTTGTACATAGGTAGCCAATTGTTGAATTGTAACACGTCTTATACAATGGCAATGCTATACGTGCATATTGTGTTTATAACGTACTCAAATCAATATTTATAATAATAATAATAAAAGTATACATTTGCTTAAAGATTAAATTCATATTATTAAATTAATAAATAATAAAATCACTTTATTGATTACACTGATTAC